ACCATAAGATTTCCCGAACTGAACTTTTTGCTTCCCTCTGGGAATGATGAGATAGGAAGAAGAAAAACATATATAGTGTAAAACAAATGAATACAAAACAGAGCCAGGTCTTCTCTGCAGTCAAGGATACACAGGGATCATTACTGCAGAGTATGAGCAGTTTTTCCAAGAAGATATTTAAAAGTCCCTTCATGAAACTGTGGGAGGAAGTTCTACTACTTAGTGAGAATATAAATAACTAAAGAGAACTGAAAATGATACTTCTATCTTCACATGATAGACAATTTAGAGCTCTTAGTTATTAAAAAAATCATACTCTAGTTACTTAAAAGAATCAATTAGGAACAATTTTAATTAACAGAACTGGAAAAAGAACATATTAAGGTAATAATCTCCTCTATGAAACCATTTAATAAAAAGTTTAACATAAATAAGTAAATGCACACATACACAAATAAATGACAAATAAATGTGAAAATGTTAATATAAATATAATGAGCTGCAAATATATACTGTAGTTATAACTGGTTTAAGGGATGGTAGACAGAGGAAATAAAACTTTTGTATTTTACTCTTTGCTGTTGTATGAAGTTTTTGAAGACAAATAATGATTTTAGTGTCTTACACATTTGCATGGCAGTTTGAGTTTGATACATCTGTATATCCACCAGCGGTCTAGTGGTTAGGGTTCGGCATTTTTTTCCACTTTAATCTTTTCTATATATATAATGATAATTAAATATTATAAAAATATGACATCACATATGAAAATTGCCTAGTGGAATTTATTTTTTAAAAGTTTCTTTGAAAATCCATGAGATTATTGTAAAGTTTATATGCATATGTATTTAAAAAAAGAAATACTATTTCATTGTCAAGTAAGTTTGCCTGTATGAACGTAATCTTTTCCACTGTGAATGTTTTCAAGTTGTATTCTATTTAATCCAAAAATATATCCATATCTGCTGCCTTTATTATTTATTTATTGGATATTTTGCCACTCTTGAGTTCTTACTTCATTTACTATTTTTCTGTTGTTCTATTTCTCACTGACAGCTAGATTCTCTTAACCCAGTTTTAGAATCTGTGTCCTCTCACTGGAGATGTTAGCCCATTTAAATTCACTGTTATAACGGAAAATTTTTATTTATTTGCTATCATTCCCATTGTTTATTTCAATGCTTACATATATATATGTGTGTGTGTGTGTATATATATATATATTTGTTTTCTCTACTGTAGTTATTTGTTGTTCTTGAATGCTACTCATTCTTCATGGTTGTTGTAGTTCAATAAAACTCTTACTGAAGTAAAATTGTCTACCAGTGGCAAGGAATGAACAAGTTCTGATCATTTTTATCCTTTATTTGAAGCAAGAAAAACGTTCAACCTTAATCCACTGATAATCTTCAGCTTCCCCAGTCATATTCATAAATGTAATCCAGTTTTATGGAATTCATTTTACATTAAAAATTTTAATAATACTTGAAAAGAAGTATTACTACTTGAAAAATGATAGTTTGGCTTTCTTCTTAAATCATAACCATGTCAGGCATTATACTTTACTCTTTTCCATTGTAAATTCCCTTCTTGAGTTAACGTTTGTCCCATTGGTAAAACATGTCTCATAGATAAAACTCCCTCAAGGAAAAGACCAAAGAACCACCTAGACCTTCAATTCGTTTCCACCATAGACAGCAGAATGGGAGTGCAAATTATTTTATAATAATTATAGGCTACTATCCTTTCTCTGAACATTGGAATTACATATACCCCACTATCTATATAGTTATGGTGGTTTTTTTAAATTCTGTCTAAAATCTGATGAACAATTTTGATTAACTGCATCCTTGTTCTCTAGTTGTCTTCCTCCCTCCTGCATCTTTTTCTTAAGAGATCAGGCAGATACTATGTGTTTCTCTGGTTCTATGAGAAGGTCATCGTAAAGGTTGTGCCCTTCTGGCTCTATCCTGCAATAGCATTTGATGCACACATAAAGTGGCTGAAAGCCCTTGAAATGCAATGCCAGCCACTTCCTCCTTCCTGTAACACCTCAAAGTCATTTGGATGGGACTACACCTTACTTTAAATCTGACACTTAACAGAGTTCTATGTAATACAAGTGTGCTGGGAGAATTTTTGTATCTTCCTGCTCAGTCGGGTTATCTGACTTAACTAGGGGGTTAGATGGAATTTTTCTTTGAATAGTTTACACGCCAGTGTTAAAAACCACACACACACATCCCAAATATTCATTTCCCAACTGCGTTTCTTGTGCACTGTTCCCCTGTTCGAAGGTTAGGCTTGAGAATAAAACAGAAAAATTTCCTTCTCTATGTCTTATCTATAATCACAACTTCACACAGCATTACACTTGGATCATACTACCAATTTTTCTTGTCAATAAAATGAATTCTTTTTAAAATTAGGTTTAGAAGATGGGAATTGATAAAGCAGAAAATTTAAGAACATGAATGTTTAATTTAAGAATGTGCTCCTCATACCCTCCTCATCAATTAAAAAGAAACATAATCTATAGGCTTTGCTCTGCACAAAGGCACTGTGATATGGCAAAAAGCACAAAACTTAGAATCAAAGAGACTTTAGCTCTAGACTTGACTCTGAATTTATCTGTTGTATGAATTTGAGTCAACACCCCTTGATAATTTTCAATTTATTCTTTGTCTCTCTTATTGAACTGTGAATTTTTATAGTAGAAAATCATGTAAGTACTTAACAGAGTACTTAATGCTAATTAATCTTATCTATTATTAGCTGACACTGGTTATGCAATGTTGTGTATTTTTATGTATATCTTAATTGATCATTTGAAGAAGACTGGATGCATATGGCTAGTGAATCATCATTATAAGAAAGGAGTCAGGAGTCATGTATAATGACATGCTTCAGTTTTTTTCGATGTCATAATGCTGCATTGCATTGTGGTCAACTGAAACGATTTTACTAAAGATCAAATAAATTCAGTCAAGTACAAGTAAATGAGTCAAGTTTTCTCCTGAAAGTAGGGGGTGAATAAATGCAATATATTTCTAACAATATTATATGAGTATTGACTTTCACATATAAGTATTTACACTGAAATTGTGTTTAAGTTTTAATAATGAATTAACAGGAGGAAATAAATATAGAAGATCCAGAAAATCTATATATGCATCATAGTCCATGTCCAGTATTTTGAATTGTGAGTGTTTATGTGTGTGTGTGGGTGTGTATTTTGTTATAAATACGTGGGTGAGAAACACATCTAGTCTGTTTAGTTGGGGAAAGCTAGAAAGAGTTGTAAAAATGTTTAGGTTTTTGAAAATGAAGAATAGTGAGAGGAATTAATTAAAATAGATACTGTTTATCAAGGAAAAAGAACAGAATGCTTCAACTCAAATACAGCTCAACATGCTTCAAGGCTTTGTGGAGACATTTAATGTGAAGATAAGGATGTGAAATCATGTTCTGTACACACTGTGTTTGCAACAGATTTTATTTTTTGCAACTGGGTAAATCAGTTATGATTATTACAGGCTGCTGCTACAGTTGCCAGAGTTAACTTAAGGCTGGATTATAATGGAATTAATTTCTTCCAAGCCTTATGGTTGAAATCCCAGTAGCTGTCTCCATATATTAAACTGTGCTGTTTCAGATTGTTGATGAAGGAGCCATGTGGGCTGCTTCTTCATCACAATCAGTGATAAATGTGAAGTATGGTAACAATTCAATTAACTTACTTCTAGTTTTTATTGAAAATTAACTTTGTTAAAGTAACTTTAATGTGCACATACATTTATGTCTGTCTGTGCACAACACATACAGATTCATGTGCATAGTAATATATACTAGCTTATATCAAAAACACTAGACCGTATTTTAAATCCCAGTGAAGAGACAGTCACACACCTTACCTCCTATCCTGGTCCCAGGGCCTATAAAGGGAAACACACTGGGGATGACTGGGGAAGGGAGGGGAGGAAAGCATTTTTGCGAAGGAACCATCTGAGAGATCATAAGGATCATCAAACATGGGAAAGGAAGAAATAACCACTTTGTGAAAAATCAGTTGTATTTTTTTCCAAGTCTGAAGAAAGAACAAAGCACAAAAATTGGAATCCAAAGCTTAGAGGACATGACAAAGAGCATTTTTAAGTCATTGCTTGTATAAGCAGTTGTTCAAATTAGCATAGCCTTTCTAAATAAAGTTTTATTTTAATGTTCCAAAAAAAAATATTGAAGGAGCATGGTAGAGTATTATCTCTCCACCCCAACTACCTACACATACTATATTTTCCTAGTTTATCTCATAATTTTATGATATCCAATTACCTTGATGCAATTCTAATTTAATTTGAATATATTTCCACAAAATAAGTTTTTGAATGTTTGAACCTATCTAAATCTTATGAAAATCAATGCCAAATATTCATTTGCTTCGTCACACATGAGAACAGAATTTCCAAAAATAACTTTCATTTTTGCTGAAAAAGATAGGAAAATCAAGAGTTGGCTGCTTATCTAAGTATCCTCCTTGTATCACACAATGAAATTAATAACACAAATTGTTCTAAAAATGACTATTAAAAAATCACTCTACTGACTTAAATTGCATAGAGGAGTGCAGCTTCAGGTAAGAGGAATCATGATTTGAGAGTAATGTGGTATAAGAAAGATGAAAGCAGCAATAAAATCCTAGAAGGAAAAGTCACAGGCACACAGGGGACCCTGAGGGCAGCGGAGGAGCCAGTTTGGAGTGACTCTTACAGATCCTTCTCCTTGGGGATTATTGATGACAGTAACTCTCTGTTATATATTAATTTCTGACATTTCTATCTCTTGAGTCCTGCAGCCAGGAAAGGAAATGGTTTACATTATAATTGTCATGATGACAAATATAAAGGAAAAAAAAAACAGGTTCTTAACAGATTCTGGGGGCAGAATTCCTTTTACATGGTGATCATCAGTGTGCATTGTTCTGTCACCTCAACTCTCACAGGCTGAAGACAGGAAAATAAGAAAACCAATATAGCACTTGGTGCTGTCAGAGATCAGTGAGATGACCTCACATCTGGTAATTCTGTTAGTACCCTACCTGAGAAAGACCAGTTTGTTTTCAGATTGCTAATTCAAGAACCCAACTTTGGGCAGGAAACCAAATACAAATGGACAAGGGAGCTGCGATCCAAAGAAAATTTCTGGAGAATGTACGTGCCACTAGCCATGCCTCGGCCCCCTTCTGTTATTCAGTAAAAAGATCGTGCCTCCAATATCCAATTTCCAGGGGATCCCTTGATAAGAAGCACAAAAATTAAGTGACATAGCCCCCAAACTGACATTAATACCAATAGTGTCAATATTAAACATATTAAATGAAGACAAACAGCTAACCCAATAAATAATTTGTGACTCCTTCACCATTCCATTGGTGCATAGTAATTATTCAGAAGATAAAATGATTTCAACTAATTTGGGGAAGTTTGTTTTCTGTTTGTTTTTTTTCCTGAGTTACTATGACTTTCACTATTTTACAATTTACTGTCATGGCAGAACAAGTAAATTGTTAGGTTCTCCTGTTGTAGAGTGTGTGCGGGTGTGTGTGTGTGTGTTTACATATATGATACAAATATACATATACACTTTAAAGCTTCCAAATGGTCTAATGTGCCTAATTTTAAATATAATGAGGTAAATATATAGAGTTATTAT